AAATAAATAAATAAAAAGAAATAGTAGGAAAAAAAAACTGTTTTATACTAAAGTATGTCTCTTTCTTGCCAAGTCCTATGTGGAAAGTCACCATCAATGGGACTGTATTCAATACCAGAACCTTAAAAAAACTGATTACAGGCTGCTATGATAATTCCAGCTACTGAGAAGGATAAGGAAGGATTATAAATTTGGCCAACCTAAGTGATGTAGTGAGACCCTATTTCAAAATAAAATAAAAGAGCTGTGGATATAGCTGAGCGGAAGAGAACTTGCCTAACGTGTGAAACCCTAAAATCAATCTCTAGTACTGCAATAAAAAATAAACAATTAAAATCAGATCATCAAGTTTTGATCCCCAGTGAGCCATGTTGGCCCTGTCCCTGGGGCATACTGAGAAGGGCGATTGAGACTGAGTGTGATGGCGTGTGCCTGTAATCCCAGCACTTGGGAGGCTGAAAACAGGAGGATCACTATGAGTCCAATCTGTGTAGTGAGACCCTGTACTAAATACATTAAAAAGAAAATCAGGTCATAAAAGTGGGGCCTTAATTAAAAAGGACTTAAGTCCCTGTGAGGACAGAAAAAGATACTGAGAATGCCTGTGAGAGAACAGGCCAAAGAGGACACAGCAGCAAGATGGCCATCTGCAGGCCAAGCAGGGACCTCAGGAAGAACCAAAGCTGCCAACATTTTGAGCTTGACCTTCCAGACTTCAAAACTGAGAAATAAATGCCAGCTGGTTTAGGTACTGCTGTGGTTTTGTCTAGTGTCCTCCCAAAGCTTCACGGGATCATAGGTAAAGCTTTTTCAGAGGTGGCTGGATCTAGAGTGTGACTGATTCATGGTGCAATGCTGGGAGTAAGGATACATGATTACTAAATTGGTCCACTGATTGGTTTGGAACCTCCTTAATCCAAGTAGCCTATTTACTGCATAAGAGAGGCTGAAAGGCACCATTTATTATCTCTTATTTTTGGTACTGGGGATCAAACTCAGGACCTTGCACTTGAACCTCTGAGCTATCTCCCAGCCCAGAAAGGTACTGTTAAGTTCCCTTGTTGCTTTGCTAACTTTTGCCTTGGAGCCAGACAAGTATGGAATGAAACCTCTACAAACAGTGAGCTAAACAAGCCTTTTCTCCTCTAACTTTGGGTGTTGGACATTTTGTTTCAGCAACAAGAAAAGTACCTAAGACAGCCTCTACAATGTAAATAAAGAAATAAATAAGCTAAGTGGTACAACAGAAGAATAACATTTGGGGATAGTAGGGTAGCAACTGTAAGGTTGCTTCCTTCCTCTGGTGCAAAAGAGAAGCGGGTAAAAGCAAAGAAATCCTTCATTGCCTGGGGCAGGAGGATAGACAAAAGAGAATCAGAGAACTTTGAGAGTCAGGAAATAGAGGTTGGAGCTTTTATCAGATTGGGCTGGGGTGGAGTTTACATGGGTGGTACAGTGACTCAACAGTTGCTGACTGGGGCAAAGTTGGCAAGTGAGAAAATCAAAAGAGGAAGTTCCTGATTAACCAAGTGAGAAGGGGATGGGGAGATGGCTCAGTGGAATAAGTGCTTCCCTGGCAAGCGTAAGGGCCTGAGTTCAATCTGCAGTTCCACCAAAAAAAATAAATAAATAAACCAAGTGAGAAGGAATGGAAAACAGCTGAGGCACGGCTCTTCATAGTTGGTTCTGGGATCCTCGCACCACACTGATTTGCAGCTGTGATGGTCTGGTGGCCTGTTGCATGGGTACAGACCCAGCAGCAATGACAATTTTAATTTGAGATGTGTTTTATTGCCTCATTTTGTATTTTTTTGGCTTGAAAGTTTTAATAGCTTTTAGGAAAAAAAAGCAAAGTGATACCCTTGAAGAACAATCATAACGTATATACAACTCAATTTTAAACACTGGTAAAAGATTTGAAGTGGCACTTCATCAAAGAAAATTAACAGATAGTTGTAGCACATGAAAAAGCACTCAGTGTCTGTGGTTATCAGGAAAATGTAAACAAGTCCATGATAAAATACTATTGTACATTCTCTAAAATTGCTACATGGAAACCTATACTCATGTGGAAGAAGCTGCGAATGCCCTAGAGTCCCACCCACTGGAGGCATGACAAAGGGAATGTCACCTTTATCTGTAAAATTCTGCTTTTTCACAAGGTGTTTTAAACTCAGGGGTGAAGGTGCCAAGGTACAGTTCTAGGTTCAACCCCTCAGAAGTGTAAAAGTATAAAATGGCAATGCATTTTCATAACGTACAACAGAAGTTAATTTAAAATCCATCGGCTATGGCAATATCTATGTAGTGGGTGAACTTACTACAAAACTTCACGGGAATGGACAAGTGGAGGTAAAAGTTAACTGAAAATGAAAAGGACTTCATGTCTAGAGACGCTGACTGAGGGCCAGCCAAACAGCTCAGTGGATTAAAGCACCTGCAAGCAGGTGAAGGGGCCAGGGGTTCTCCAGCCTGCCCTGTCGGCCCCGCCCCGGGTCGCACTGAGATAGCAATTGAGACTGGATGTGGTGGTGCTTTCCTGTAATCCCAGCTCTTGAGAGGCTGTAAACAGATGGATCACTATGAGTCTGATCTAGTAGTGAGACCCTGAACACCCTGTAGCCCCTTCCCTAAAAATACAAAATAAATAAATAAATAAAGACACTGACTGAGACTTATGCTGAATAACTTAGAAAGACATGATGGGAAAGATAATTGAGGCTTTGAATACAGGGAAATACTTTTTTCTTTGCTTGTCATTAAAAAAAGGAGTTTCTATTTATCTCTATATTAAAAAAATCTCTTCTATACCTTTTATGCACACATACAGTGACCAAGGAAGGGACCATTTGATAGGCTCAGATATATGCATACATTACAATATGGTAGAGAAGGGACAAGCTGAGCAGGTGCACTGCTTAGGAACTATGAATGCTTGTCAAGGATATGGTAGATGTGAGACATGGCTCTGCTTTCAATCAACTGATTTCCAAGGTTTCCCACAACTGTGACAGGAATGTCAATGAAGAGCTGTTTCTTCATTACCTGTGTATTTTCATAGTGGAAAAAAAGCAAAAATAATTACCCTAATAGAAACCCCCACTGCCAAGGGAAATCCAAGATGAAGTGGGAAAAAACAGCAGCACTGCACGCCTCCATGATACAGGGACCAAAAGACAGCCGGAAGCAGACTTTCTTCATTTGCCGTAGAGCCTGAGGACAGAGTCACACACACAGCAGGAAAGCCACCTAAGCATGCTGAAGTACAGTGTCTCTGGGGTAATCAGCTTTTGCTAACCCAAGTCTCATGTGGCCACATATGGCCATCTCTGTGGTTTTAAAACTCTCAGAATTTACTTTATATACAGTTATCATAGAAAGGCTTATAATTTTATACTTTGTACAATATATATCACATTTTGTAAAATATTGTTTTAATTATTTAAGAAAATTGACTTCTGTAGAATTAAATAACTATTTCTACATTTTCCTCATACTATAATGAGAATATCTTATAGGTTTTCTTCCTTATAAATTAACATTTAGCAATTAACTATTCATTAACTTAATACTTACAAGTAGAAAATGCTAATATACCAAAAAAGAAAATAACTTACAATTGTATTACTAATTTAAAAAGGGAGAACTTTTCAATTTCTCCAATGGTTCAAATTTCCTACCCAAGAATACAACAAATTATTGCTAGCTGTAACTATCTGTTCTTGGGATGGTATTTCCATCAAACCCATACATTTGCCACACTTACTTACATAGATGTTATATTCATAAACACTCATCTTCTTAAAAGCCAAATAAATTTATGATTCCTAAATTGTAATACTTTAGGAAATGTTCTTTTTTGATGATGCTGATGCTAGTGAAGAAGTACTTTAAAAATAGCTTTTAGTACAATGCAGAGATAATCAGAAACATAAATCCATGTAGAACAAGTTATGAAAGTTTTCAATTTCTCTTAAAAAATAAAAATAAAAACAAAAAAAGGAAAATTTTGCCCTTTAGTTAGGTGCAGTGGCATACATCTATAATCCCAGCATTTTGGGAGACTGAGGCAAGAGGATCATAAATTCAAGTGCTGCCTGGGCAACTTAGCGAGATCCTATCTCAAAATTTAAGAATAAGGAAAAAGGCTGGGGATGTAGCTCTGTAGTATAGTAACCCTCAGTTTGACCCTCTGTATTGAAAAAGAAAGAAAGAAAGAGAGAAAGAAAGAAAGGTAAAGAAGAGAAGAAAGAAGAAAGGGGGGGCGGAGAAAGAGGAAGGATGATATAGAGATATATAGATGAAAGAGAGAGAGAGAGAGAGAGAGAGAGA